CCTCGATAACGCCCCACGCCCGTCTCTGCCCAGCACGTGGCCTGAGCCCACGGGGCTCGTCCCCTCTCACCGGCTCAGGCCTCGCTCTGACTCTCCTTCCCATCGTTCCTCCTGGACAGGCCCTGAGAGCCCTCACCGGCCCGGACCTAAAACAATCTCCCCTCCTCGACTGGAACGAGGCTGGCTCCTCTCTCCCGTGACCGAGTATGCGTTCGGAACCTGCAGCACGAACCGTTTATATTTAGGCTTGGATTTGGGGTCTGGCTTCTTCACGCTTGGTCTGCTCTCCAGTCCAATCTCGGCAGCGGGAGGGGGAGGCGGGCGGCAGACTGGGGAGGGTCCCGGGCAGTCAATACCGGGCACCTGCTCTTGGCACGTGGACCGCCCTTTGCTCTCATGGCACGAGTCATCCTGGCCTTCGTGTCACTGCCGGACCACAGACCCCATCGTCGTCTTACCAACGGCCAGGCCGGGCGACAGCTCCTCTCTGGAGCTTCCCCGTGTCTAGGTGAGCTCAGTGTCCTGGGGGTAGGGAGGGCCCCCCCGAGACAAGCAGTGGGGTATTCATATAGAGGTCACAGTGCTCAGGTCACCTGCCCCCCAGGAGCCTCAGAGGATACAGTGTCCCCCCAAGAGATAGGTCCTGTGGCTGTGACCTTAATTGGAAATAAGATCTTTGTAGATGTAATTAAGTCAAGATTTGGTCCTACTGGATTAGGGTGGACCCAGCCCAACGACTGGGTCCTTGCAGGAAGAGGGAAATGGGAACAGGCACACACATGCACACACGCACACAATGCACACACATGCACACACACATACGCCCACACAGACGTACACATATATACCTGCACACACCCACATGTGCATGCACAGACCTACACACGCATACACGCACACAGATGAACACATGCACATGCACATGCACACACATGCGCACACACACAGAAGAATGCCACGCGAGGAGACAGACATATAGGGGAGACGAGGAGACAGACACATAGGGGAGAAGCCCACGTGATGATGTGGGCAGAGATCGGACTGATGTGTCTACAATTCAAGGAACACAGGTACCGCCACAGCTGCCAGAAGCCAGGAGAGAGGTGCAGGTGGCTTGTCCCCTAGAACTACCCCTAGTGACACCTTGATTTTGGACTTCTGGCCTCCAGGGCTCTGTGAGATCCAGCGGCTGTTGTTTGAAGCCGCCCGGTCTCGGCTCTCTGCGCCAGCAGCCTCAGCAGGGCCGCACCGCCCGGTTCATGTCCCGCGCGGCACACCCAGCGCCGGGCTCTGGGGCCCGCCGCCGGCCCCTCGACCCGGCCCTGCCCCGTGAGACGCTGCGCAGGCTGCCGCTGTCTTCTCGGACGGGCTCCATCTGGGGAGCTGCCAGCAGAGCCTCCCTCCCCGCCCCAGCGCTGGAGCTACATCTGGAAACTCTTCTCACCCTTAATTGTCCCTAATGCTCTAACACACTGAGTGACTAATGGGCTCTAATTGGACGGCCTCGGTGCAGAGCGGTGGCCCGGGGGACTCGCTGACAGCACCCTCGGTCACCCACCCGCCTCCTCCCCGCACACTCACGGAGCCCAGAAGGCGCCAGGAACATACACTGGCCTGCTTTCCTGGTTTTTTTTTTTTTTTAAATGTCACACCGGTGCCAACAAGCCGTTTTATCCTTCAACCCACAAATGTAGGGCAAAGGAAAGGCTCGAGGAGACGCAAAAAGCAGATGGGACAAAATATCACACATGCCACCGAGGTCTGCGGCATCTGTCTGGAGACAAGCAGGAGGTTCTTGGAAGCCGACCCAACACGAGTCACCTTACCCAGGTGGGCGGAAGGGAAGGGTTCCAGCCAGAGACCTCCCCTCGAAGGGAAGGGAGTGGGGACCAGGCATCTACGCTCCTCCCGTCCCCAAACCCAGGGTCCCAGATCTGCCGAGAAGGGACCAGAAGGTGGAGAAGCCAAGCAAAGAACTGGCGGAGGAGACACAGAAAATTCCTCGATGAGGTGGTGGGGAGAGAGAGGGAGAGGAGGAGGAGGGGGAAGAGGGAGAAGGAGGGAGAGAGACGCAGTCTAGAGGGCCCTGTGTCCTCCGCGAGTTTCCTCCTTCTCAGGGGGAAAATGTGCAGAGGGATCAACGTGGTGGACTGGGTGCCTTCCTGAACCTTCTTCCCTAAACACATTTATCAATAGAGGAGAAACCACGGTGTGTTTAGAAGGACCCACGTTTCCAAAGACTGACTCGGGCTAAACTCTTTGCATTAAAATATCAGCTATAAGAAGAAAATGAGCTGCCCCTACAGGAAGGAAGGTGCCGGAAGGCCCCTGCAGCCGGGCGTGCCCTGGTCCACCCAGCGACCCCAGGGCGTCCTCTGGCAGCGGGAACGCACTGACTGCGCGCTCAGAGAAACGCCCCATTAGCTCTGGCGTGATAGACAGAGCCACGCTCTGCCTCCCCCGCCTGTGCTCCAGGGAGCACCGTGCGTGGCCACATGGCTGGCGAGGGCATCCTGCTGCGGCTCAGCCCTCGGGGGCGCCCCGTGATGGATCCCAGTTTAACAGCTCTTAACAACAAGCAGACGAGAGACGGGCGTGATGGATGGGCGCAGGAAGCCGCTCATTCGTGGATGATTTATGGGAAGTCGCGTGTTGCCGCTCATGTGTGCGTCCGTCCCTGGGGGGGGGGGCCGGGGTGGGGGCATGAGTTCTAACGTGCTGAAGCATGCAGGCTGCACGCCTATACCATGTGTGCACTTGGCCCCAGCGTGCGCGGCAGCCCCAGCCTCGGCCACGTGCAGTTCCGAACACGTGGTCATCTGTGTCCCGGGAGGAAGACTCTGCGTGTCTCTCAGCTCCCGGACACAGGTGCTCCCCAACTGCCAAAGACATCTGGAGCCGAAGGACCCTCAGCCACGGCGTGGAACAGACAAATCCCCTTCTGCAGCAGGTTAATTTCCATCCCTGTTTGTAATAAGGGCCCAGAATCTACTATGCAGTAAAATCCAAATGGAATCCACATTTGCGGGGATGAGTTTACATGGGCTCTAACCGATGGGCCCCTTTCCAAGGCCCCGGAAATGAACCGAGGCCAGGGCCGTGGCCTGGGAGGAAAGGATTCCTCCCCATGCCTGCCCTGAAGCAAGGACGGGTCTGCAGCCACGGAGCCACACCAAACAGCCTCCGTGGCAGGGCCACTCCTGAGTCACAGCCCAGACCCACTTGAGGGGCAAAAGCTCCTGCCTGGAGCTTCCAGTGGCAGGACGCAGAGAGCGACTGGGATGCATGACCTTCTAGGTGGTCACGTTGTTGCCTTCTGTCCCTGTGCAGTCTGGGCTGTGTGGCCGTCCTTTCTGGACTCCCTACGGGGTCGCTGGAGGTTTCCGCAAGGGGAGACAGAGCATTGCAGTGCAGAAGGGGAGTTGTTTGAAGTCTCGTCGCAGACACGGCCCCAGAGTCACCACGCCTCTCATCCCGGGTCGGTGGACAGTCAGCCAGCCCTGGCCGGGCCGGAGCTCGGCTCGGCTCTGCCCCGCACAGATGGCAGCGGTGGCTTCGCGCGGCTCAAATCGGGCCGTTCCAGCCTCCGCTCAGGGCCCTTCGGTGGCTCCCACCACCCTCACTCTGAAATCCTTCCCCAGCCTGCAGGCCGCCCACCCGGCCCTGGAACTGCCTCGGCCCCCTCCTGGGTGGGGACAGCCACTCGGCCAGGGACAGCCGCCCTCTCCAACGTGCCTGCACATCTCTGCCCCTGGGCCTTTGCACTGCTGCCCCGCTGCCAGGATCGCCGTCCCCCAGACCTCCTGGGGTCCTCCCTCCTCCCGTCACTCTCTGCTCACAGCAGCCCCGCCGCCCGGCCTGCTTCACTTCGCTCTGTGGCCTTATCAACACCTAACCACATTCGTGCTCGCGTATTCTCCCGTCCCTGCCAGAAAGCAAACTCCGTGAGGGCGGGGACTTGGTTTGGTCTCCGCTGCGAGTCCAGCACCCAAACAGGGCTCGCACATCTGATGTCCACATCCTTGCCCTGATGTCGTGGAACGACTGGACGCTTACGGGTCAGCGGAGCAGTGAGCCCACGGCAAGGAGAGAAACCCGGCCAGCCCTGAACGGAGGAGCGCCCGCTGCCACCGCCAAGAGAAACACACAGTGTGCACCGGGAGACGCCGCCACACAGGCCTGGCTGCAGACGTCCGGGGCTCTGGCCTTCCCTGCCCTGCGTGACACTGACCCACACCCCCGTGCTGTCGTCACCAGGGAGCCGGGCCGTCCTGAACCTCACGAGGTTTAACACAGAATCTGCCTGGTCTTCGTCCCTGGCTCCTGGGAGGTGACCTCAAAAACCTTTGCAACTTCCAGGGATAGGAGTGTTCATTACTCATGGCACGCCCCTCTAGACCACACCTGACCGCACGCTGGCCAGGTGGCTCTTGGTGGCCGCAGGTAATGTCAAGGGTGAGGCTGTCCTGCAGAGGACTTCGCCCCGAACCTGTGGAGTGTGGCACTGACACGAGGGTGGGCAGTGTCAGGTGGAACGGAGCTGCAGCCCACCCAGTCCAGGTGGGACGGGGCAAACATCCCATCCCCCTAGAGCCAGATGTAGCTTCACGGCCGCTCACTGGGCGGCCCGGCCATCCGGGCAGCAGAGCACGGACCGTGCAGGGGAGGGCGCCCGACCTCGGCCATGGTGGCATGTCACGCTGACACCAGGCAGTGGACCCCGCACGCCCGTCCCCCTCCGTCCCAGGACTAACGCCCCCACGGCCAGGCTGGCGGGTTTCAGGGCACAGGTAGCAGCTGCTCCTCACAAAGTTCCACCCAACACTTTCCCGGGGATCTGCCGTCCTCCCTGTCCTAGTCCACAAAGACACCATGACCCGAAACCAGAGACCAGCACAGAACGCGCCTCCTTCCGTGAAACAAAAATCTCCGCATGCGAACGTTTCCTGCTGCAAAGGCGAACTCCCAGGAGCTGCCGTGGTGTGCGGCGGCGGCCTTACCTGGTGGCGGGAGGTGAGGTCTGCTTTGCCGTGCGGGGAGGCCCCCGTGGGGTTCTTCCTGGAACTTCCTTGGGGCGGAGGTTTGCTGGGGGAGGGCAGGTGTCACCCGAGGAGGCTTAGGTTCTCAGAGACGGGCTTCCAGCCTGCAGGGGAAAAAAAGAGTGAAAACCAAATGCCTTTGAAGCAAACATCTTCTTTGGATCCAAAACAAACACTGTCATTAATAAACGGGGGAAAGGGGGGCAGCTTCGATGCCAATCGATTGCCACCAGAGAGGGATCAGAGACTTTCCCAAGAGCACTTTGCCTCCTAAGTCCCAGGGGAGTAAAGGAAACCGCACGGGAAACAAACCATTAGGACCCTGTTGCCACACGGTGCGCCATCCACCCCGAGCTCCCGCCACCCCCACAGCAGAGGCGGCCCAGGGCCTGGGTGGGCAGGGAGCCCAGGGAGCAGCCAGCCGTCTGCCAGGGCCACTAGCCCGCCGTGGCGGGTCAGTCCTGCTGCCTTTGAGGCTGACGGAGCTGCCCTCCCCAGAGCTGCCTTGGGGGGAGGCACCCCCAGAAGCCGGCAATAAGGGACCCCAAGCCGTACCCCTCTCCACCCTGGAATCCGGGCCACCTTCTCCATGGCAACTGCCCTTGCACCCCCACCCACGGGCCTCGCTGCGCCCTGAAGCCTCTCCATGTGGAAGCCAAGCTCCCCGGAAACGTGGCTTCGTTTTATCGAAATGAAGGTGCACACCCCACCTGCGGCTGCTCTCTGAGAGGATGCAGCTCCACAGGCCACCGAGCCTGAGGGCAGGGCCCCTCCCCAGTGCAGCTGCCCTCCGGGGCCCCCTGCAGCCCCCACAGCCCGCCAGAGCCAGGGCGCCCTGCCCCACCGTGGGCCTAGCACAGGTTTGCTTTCCTGGCCCCCACCTGTGTGGGAGATGATCTAGCAGCCTGTCCCCGGTTGTAATGGCGCACTTCCCTCCCTCGGCTGCAGGAGGCACTGTCCATCACCCACGGCGCACAGCACAGGCCCGTGCCCCGCCGGGTGCGGCCCCGCGCTCCCCCAGGTGACTCGGGGTCTCGGGATCACAGGGCCTGCCCGGCACTCACGGCTGCCGGAGGGGGCAGAACGGGGTGGCAGGCGGGAGGCGGTGAAGAGCATCCTCCAAGCCACCACCAGCCCTGCTGCCCTGCGGCAGGGGCGGGCGAGGAGGGCGGGGAGGGGCAGGAGGCGCACACACGCTGTCTCAGCCCACAGCCGCCACCCCCATGCCAGTCTGTCGGGGGAGGGAGCGGAGGCCCCCTCGGGACAATATGTATTGTGCCCTCCTTGCCGAGCATGGCGCCAGGCCACAGCTCCAGCCTTGGTGAGCCACGGCCCAGCGCGGGAGCCACGGGGAGGTGGGGGGGAATTCCCAGCCCTCGTCCTGTCCCCTACACACACGTGCACACACACACAGAGCCACATACATACATACATACATACATACACATACATACATACACACAGAGAGAACCACATACATATACACATACGCACACACACAGAGCCACATACATACATACTCAAACATACATACACACATATGCACACACACATACACACTCACACACACACACACGTTGTCCCCAACCCCTCTACCTGCTTCTTCCAAACCCCTTGCTTTAATTGTGGGAGCACCCCAGAATAATCGGGGAGTCTGGGTCCCTAGGTCTCCCAGGAAGCCTAGATGCTGTCGAGGTTCAGAAGAGCTGGGCAGTGCGAGGCCTGTTCCTGGGGTTATGCTGGGGCTGGGCAGGAGGGGACGTCTCGGAGGATCTTACAGTCCCCACACCTGCATCTCAGCTCGAGGGGCTCTGGCCACTCCAGCCGGGCAGCCCCCTAGCCGGCCAGCTCCCAGGGCAGCAGGGGTTGGGTCGAGTTTGGTGGGCTGGCCCTGAATAGTCTCTGAGATTCTGGCCACTGGGAAGAGAAGGTGGAAAAATAGACATCTGGACTCTTAAAAAGCGTCTCCTACCAAAAAATAAGCAGGCGAGCAAAGGGAGATGGAGGTGGGGGAGGAGGGAGGGAGGGAGGGAGGGGGAGAGAGAGGAGGAGGAAAGAAGGAAGGAAAGAGAGATGGAGGGAGGAGGCCCCTGGGGACAAGGCACCTCCCTTAGGCCTGGTGGGGAGGGCGGGGCAGAGACGTGGGCAGGGCGGACACAGCGGCTGGTGCAGAAGCCACAGCCGGGCGGGCGCTGGCCAGGCCGAGGCCCGGGTGTGAGCCGGGTGAGGGCAGGGAAGGTGGGAAGCAGTGACCTGCCCGGCCGGCCCAGGTGGCCTTGGAAGAGGTGTGGACACGTGTTTGCAAGACGCGGCTGAGACCACAGCGTCCAGAGTGCGGGGTGGGTGCCTGCTACGAGGGAAGGGGCCAAGACGGGGGTGGGGGGGCCTGGCGGAACCATCATCATCATCATCCAAGCAGGGCCCCATCAGCCTGGCGAGGCAGACTGTGGTGGCGTTTGCACACCGCCATGCCCCCCCCCCACCCCCGGCGCCCCGCACAGCGCTGCCCCTGGCAGGTGCTCAGCCCGGCCGGGCTGGGTGAGTGAGCGGCGTGGGGAAGAGCGAGGGTCCTGATTGCAGCGCCCAGCCGACCCGGAAGCCACAGGTGCCACTGAGAGGAGGGCCTCGCTGGTGCACATCTGTCCCTGCGGCGGTCTCTGACCCCGGGGGCGGGGAGAGGCGGAGTGCCCTTCCCATTCTATGTGTCCAGGCAAACAAACGAGGCCCACCAAAGACCCCAGGCGTCCCCTGGCCCTCGCACCTGCAGCCTCTCCTGCATGGCAGCAGGGCACACATTCTGGACTTTTCACCAAAGAGAAAAAAGCACACTCAGACCTCAGGGCCCAAGACAGGGTGGGGACAGGCTCGGCCTTCATAAATGAGGCACCATGCGCGGGCGTGGTGGCATCTGTAGGACGCAGAGGGACCACAGAGAAGCAGAAGTGGCCCCTGAGTTAAGGAGGGTCCCTCCTCTCACGGCCCCTCCCCGGCCTACACTAGCACAGGGCATGTCTTGGGGTAGTCAGACACGGGCTCCCCTCTGGGCAGGTGCAGCCCTGCAAGTGCCAGACTTGAATTCCGAGGCCGTTGCTCCGCGCTGGCACGCTGCGCGCCACTCTCTGTGATGGGCCGGCTGCTGCTCCCTGGAGAGTTCGGGGCAAGGGGCTGGGAAGAGCCCGGAGCGTGACCCACAGGCCTGGGTTCTCCTCCCAGCCCATCGCTTATGGACCATGTGACCTGGGACGTGCTGAACGTCCCTGTCCCTTTCCCCCCCTGGGCCTCCACGAAGCAGCCAGTGTGTGCGGGATGCAGACCCAGCGCCTGGCGTTAGGTGAGGTGCGGCAACGGCTCCCTGTCTGTGCCCACGTGTCTGGAATACCACCGCACCTGCCTCCAGCGAGAGGCACGGACATAGAGCATGCAAGGGGCTTTGCGCTGAATCAGAGCTGCATTTCCTCCTGGACCCCGGGGAGTCACCTGAGCTCTCAGGGCCGCTGGAGCTCGAGGCCTCGGTGAGGTCGGACATGGCTTGCGGAGGTGACCTCAGTGGGCGGACTCGAGACCAGCGTCTTCCCCCTCACTCACCAGGAAGGTCTGTCCAGAGACGGAACCCTGAAATCTTTGGAAATCATGTTGGCGTTTTATCGTTTTTTTGCTCTTTTTTTTTTTTTTTAATGAAGACACTAATGTCAGCAGGAACGTGTCCCCGTTCTTGTTTGGCTTCCTAGAGGGACTCAGGAAATGGCCTTTGCAAAATTCCAGGGGATTCGACTTGTGCGTTTCAGAATGGGACCCTTCTCCTCAAACCACACCTTTGCTGGTTCATTTCATGGCAGAGAGAAATTTCTAGCCTTCCGATGCCACCTGGCAGAAGGTTAAAAACAAAACCAAGCGGAGTGACAGCACGGATTGGGTGTTCGTGTTTCAGAAACCATGGAATTAACCAAGCGCGATGGAGCGCCCCACCCCACTCACTGCCCTGAGCAGTAGGGCCTGGGCTCCTCGCTGACCGGCCCACTTGGCAGCCCAGCAAGCCACCGCTCTCTCTCTCCTTTCTCAAACCAGCTCGTCTGTGTGCCAGCGTCCCTTCTCCCGTCTCCTCTCGTCAGGGCCTCTCGTGACACCTCCCAGGGCTGCTTCCAGGGGCCGTGAGAGGGGGGACCCCCCTTAACTCACGGGCCGCTTCTGCTTCTCTGCGGTCCCTCGTCCCGAACCCTACAGAAGCGGCACCTCGTCTCCATCACACCTGTGGTTTCCGGGCCAGCTGGCGTCGCAATCAGAGCGCCCGGCCTCTGGTGGCCAGATTCCTCCTCGCTCTCCGAGATGCACAAGCTAATGGCCGAGACCCGAGGTCAGGACGACGCAAACCAAGAAAGCGAAACTTGCCGCCTCCATAACCCAGAGAACGACAGCACCTCGAGCCTCCTCGTCTTGGGAGTAAAGGTTACGGGAACAGGCGGCGTCCTCCCGTCTCTGCCACTCCTGGGGAGCCGGCTCCATCCCGACTCCCCTCGTGCCTTATGAATCCTGTCGCCGGCAAAAATAATTCGGGTTTTATTATCCTGGCATCTGGTGGGAGTGCGTGACAATTTCACTGTAGCTGCACTTCTTCTTTTTTAAGGCGGGTGTGTTTTAATAATACAGTGTACCTTTCGGCACTGTCGAAACGTTGCATTATTCACCGTATCCAGCGGGAAAGGGAAGGGCCTCGTGTAATTTATGTGTCCTCGGCGATGTGTTTAAAGCTCGCAAAGCGGAGGGCTGTAATTTGGGAAGCAATTTTCCCCAAGGTCGGGGAGACGGCTTCTGGAGGAGCAGCGGGAGGCTGCCTGACCCGGCTGGGGTTGGGGACGCAGAAGCCCCGGCCATGAGGCTGGGACCGGGGCAGAATGTTCCCCCTAAATACGAAATAACCTCAGCCCCGCTGTGGGTGCGTTCAGCTGCCCGGGTTTCAAGCACGGTTGATGAAAGGGAGTCTCCGAGGGCACAGACCCCAGCGTGTATCGACATCTTCCCGGCCACTTTCCCCACACCTCCTCACCAAGGCAGCCCGGGCTCCTGTGTCTGGAATCTGTGGCCCGAGACCTCGAAACGGTAAACCGAG